AGCAAGAGCAAGAGCAAGAGCAAGATCAAGAGCAAGAGCAAGAGCAAGAGCCAGAGCCAGTCAAGAGCAACAGCAACAGCAACAGCAGCAGCAACAGCAAAAGCAGCAATAACGACGGCAACACGACGACGACAACGACCACAACAACAACAGCAGCAGGAACAACAACAAGGAGCAAACAGACACTGCCTCACCGTCGACTGCACAAGGTTGCCACTTGTTGAAGCGTATCCTCGCTGCACACACATGTTCACAGTCCTCGGATTGCTTTCCAAACCCTCTGTGCGCTCGCCCGTCCCCCACTTTGCGCTTAGTTACAAACTGCTTCGAACATGAGCAACCCACATCTGTGTCACCACTCGGGTCTCAATAACATGAACCCTGCTGACAATAGGAGAAACACTGCTGTCCCCTGAACCCTGAAGCAAACCCTAACACCCACGGAAACCCTGAAGCCACAAGATCTACAAGGACCATAAATCCAAATCAGTATACCCCGTTGACATCAATAAACTCCCGACCGAAGTCCTGTTATCTACGCTATGAACATACTGCAAAAAACAGTACAATCCTTCAAAACCCACACCGCTAAACCCCCAACTCCAAACTCTAAAAAGCCTAGACCCCAAAACCCCAAACTCTAAACCTGAACCCTAAACCCCTGAACCCCAAACTCTAAACCCTAAACCCTAAACCCCTAAACCCCAAACCCTAAACCCCAAACTCTAAACCCAACGAAGACCGTGGGACCGGGAGCCTCCGATTTCCTGCCAAGGCTTCCGTCGGCGTCGTCTCCCCGCGAAGGGCCCGACTGAACGAGGTGCAACACCTGTTTTGGGGCTCAGGTTTAAGGTTTATACATATATGCATATATATATATATATGTATATATATATATACATATATATACATATATATAAATAGGTTTAGGGTTTAGAGTGTGGGTTTATATATATATATATATATATATGGTTTGGGGTTCAGGGTTTTAGGGTTCAGGCTTAAGGTTTATTTGCATGTATATATATATATATATATGGTTTAGGGCTTTAGGGGTTTAGGGTTTGAGGGTTCTAGGGTATAGGGTTTGGGGTTTAG